TCTTTCTGGATGGGCATTAGGTGTGAGGTTCCTTCACTGGACTCACTTGTCCTGCTTTTTCGGGGTAGTTGCTTTGGTCAGGTGAACCACCTCGACTGCTGAGCACTTCCCTTTCATTTTTCCAGATAGTGGCCTCGATCCTGGGAGGGGTTTCCCTCAGTCAATCAGCAGCAGTAGTTCTGCTCCAGGGTTGCCATCTGCAGTCAGCAACTGGCTTACATCTTGCCTCCCGTGGCCTTCATCCACCCGTGGGCACCTCTTTGGCATTGTGTTAGCAGGCCACTGCACCTATCCCTGCTGCTTTTGACTCCTCTTTTTAAGTGTGTTGTTCTTCCTCTCCAACTGGCCCTGTAGAGCTCCTTTGTCAGCCCTTAGCCAGTTGAAATTATCCTCCATTGTCTATAAACTCATTTATTCTATAGCCACTCTCTTAACACTAAAATCTAAAATTATTTCAACACTTTTCTCTCCATGGTGGTCTTGTCCAACTCATCCAAAATTATTTATATGGTCCCTTTTATTTCTAACTTACAATCTCATATTTCAGCTCTTGTCGGCTTTTTTGGCCCAGCTTGACGTGAAGTTTTAGTGGGTTTCCTTCACATTTAAATCCCAAATAGGGTCAAGCTCCCCTCAAAGTCCTCCCAGTAGGCAAAATACTGGCTTGTTGCCTCAGTCATCAAGCCAGCCTCCCATTACAAATTTAACAATTATTCAAAATTAGTTGGACTCGATCATCTATGACTTCCCCACTGCTACTTTTCCTTTCCAGAGTGGTTCTGGAAAAGTCAGAAAACTGGGGCCGTATTCTGGTCACTGTCTCTGGTCTCTCGTCTCTCACAAGCGGGTCGCTGATTGGCTAATCCAAATGATTAGCCAATCAGCAACCGGCTTGTGAGAGACCAGAGTGACCAGAATACGGCCCCTGGTTAGGCTTTGTTAGGAATTAACACTAAGGCCCTGTACACACTAGGCGTTTTTCAACGCGCGTTAAACGCGCGTTTTAAAGAACCAAGAGTTCTATGTAGCCGTACACACTCAAACGCCAAGTGCGCGTTAAACGCGCGTTTATAGATTTTTGTTAAAACGCGCATTTTGCGAGCGCTTTACGGGCGCTTTGAGATATATGTGCTGCCATGTTACCGTACATGCGATCGCGCGTTTTGCGGGCGTCAGCCGAGCGCTTTCAGATATATGTGCTGAAATGGAAAACGATCATTTCGATACTGATCTATTTATTGATGATATCTAAAAGACACCAACCATCGTCAAAGGATTTTATAGATATTTTAAAAGAATTAAAAAACTTGAATTTATTTTGTCTTAGTTTTGGATACAATGTCGCAAACATTTCATGCGTCAGTCTATCTCGTAATATTGGGTGCACCCAAAATTCTCTTTGTCTCTGCCGTCGTCTTTTATAGCGACGATAGAGGAGCCACACACAAGCAATCACTTCCACATTCATTTCCAAACCGAGCCAGTGCGCACGCTCCGCTAAACGCTCGTCAAACGCCGAGCTAACGCGCGTTAGCTCGGCGTTCGACGAGCGTTTAACGCGCGTTGAAAAACGCCTAGTGTGTACAGGGCCTTAAACGCGCGTTGAAAAACGCCTAGTGTGTACAGGGCCTAAAACTATTCTATCAATCTTTGGATGTCAATCTAGTCTTTTTTCACATATCCTCCAGCTTTGGCCTTCCTTAATCTCTACTGCAATACAAATTCCCTACTGCCCTAGCTGCAGTCTAGGTGTCTGCCAGGTGGGATCCAGCTCTTTCAAGATGGTGCCTCTTCCTGGCAGCCTTCTTACTCCCTGTCTACCGTTTGAATATTTTCATCCAAAATTTAACATACTTAATAAACCTGGCCAAATCCGTTATCTTATCACTAAATTCTCAAATTAAGTATACCTCTTTATCTTGCCTGGTCTTAGCTGGATGATCTTTAACTTTGGTTACCACCCCTGCTTACCTTTAGTGCTTAGTGGTGACAACTTTACTAATTCCAAAATTAAACTAACAATGCACACAATTTTTCGACCAAATTTCTTTAAGTAAACCACAGATATAGACTTCAAAGTACACATAAATGCTTATGAGCCTAAAAAGGGACTAGTTCAAAACATTATGAGCCTAGTTTCTAGTCCAAAAATAATCACGGGGGAAAAAAGCAGCTAATGAACGTTATCTTCCCACAGTAACAACTGAAGTTGCTATTTTGAAATTGCAGTTTACAGTTTGAGTATCAACAATGAAATGTTTTGTCAAGCTGTGTGTGTGTGTGTGTTTTTAGATGTCTGAACAGAGTAAACATCTGAATATATGTATTCAAAAATATTTGGAAAGTTGTTTTGATTTATTTTTATTGATATACAGTAGAACCTCCATTATCCGGACCTCCATTATACGGATTTTCGATTATCCGGATTGTTCAAAATAAACAAAAATTTTACGAATTTGCTGATTTGCACTTGGCGAATTACGACACTGTTTATGTACGTGATGGAATGCATAACTTTTTTTGTTTCAACAACGTCTCACCCAGCAGTGGTCGTAAACTCTTAAATATATTTTACGTAGTAATAAAAATATAACTTGACATACGTATTTATAAATAATTTATATTCAAATTACATCATTTCTATGACCAAGGGCGGCGTAAGGCATGGACGACGTGGGCCACCGCCTATGCCTCGCGGTCCGAAGGGCCTCGCGCCTCGAAGGTTTATGCATTACTTAAAAGCCGCGAACGCGACGAAAAAATTTTACTCGTCATAAAACGATAAATAGTTTGTCAAATTTTTATTCATAAAAATGCAGTTTCAACTGCTTTTTATTTTATAAAATCCGTCTTCTTGCGCCACCAGAGGGCCTTTTAAACAATAGGTAGTCTGTTAGCGTTGGTCAGTAGTAGTCCAAATTCAATACGAACGTTTGTTTCTTGAAAATTTGATCACGATTTAAATACAGTATTTACTTTTAATATTACCGATATGTCATCGAAAAGAAAACGTGTTGTATTATCATTAAAAGACAAATTAAAGTATTTGTTTTGATTATCCGGATTTTTCCTTATCCGGACTACCTTCATCCCCAATTAGTCCGGATAATCGAGGTTCTACTGTAATTTATTTTGAGTTTAATTTAAATATTACATAAGATTACTACATAAAATCTTGGAGGTTTTTTAAGTCAGAAACACACAGTTTAATGTTATAGTTAATTAAATTTTTTGATTTTTAGATAAATTACAAAGTCTACTAAATGAACAAGAATATATATGTAAGGAAAAATTAAATGAAATAACTCTCCTAAAACAAGAAATCATAAATTTGAAGGTAATTATAAACATCATAAAGATAAAAACTTTTTAAAAAAACAATTAGCAATAAAATTTTTTCACAGGAAGAAAATGCTAATATTAGTAATCAACTAGAAATATCAAAAGAAGAAATAAAAACTGGATTAGAAAATTTAACTTTGGCAAATATAAAAATGGATGAAAACAAGTAAATTTAACTTCATAAATAAGCAAAATTATAAATAATTTTAATTTATTCTCAGAATTAATTTATTATGAAATTACTATTGGCAATTCAAATACAGTGCTTATATCTCAGTGTTTGCAATGAACTTTCCATTTAATTTTAACAGGAAAGAAATTGAAAATTTAAAAAATTTAATGGAAGAAGAAAAACTAAAAGAAGAAGAAATAAAAGAACAATTTGAGATGAAGGTTGCAATAATAATTTTTATTTTATATTTATCAATTTTAAAAATTTAATTAATCTTATCTTAGATTACTAATAATGTAATTGGTATTATATACTTTATCTTCATTACAGATAAAAACATTAAATGATCATTTAAATGAAAAGGAAATAGAAATTGAGCAATTTAAAACAGCATATGTAGCAATTAAGAAAAATTTCAGATCAAAAGTAGCAAATATCAAAAATTTATGCAAACAAGTAATGCTTAATCTAAGTAACTTTTTAATATAATGTTTATTAACTTTAATAACAACTTTTTGCTAACTTTTATATAATTTTTGTTAAATTTTTTAAAAATATTGTTCAAAATTCTTAAAAATTTCATTGTTAAAAGTTAATATTTATTTTAGATTAATAGTTTGAAAAAAGAAATGACTGAAAAAAATGAAAGCATTAATGAATTTGAAAACAAGTTTAAAGAAAGTTTAAATGAGTCACTTCGAGAAAAAGAAGTATTGAATGAAGAAATTGAACAATTTAAACAGCAAGTTAGAAAATATAAATATATATATTTTATAAAAATCTTTAGTATGCTTAAAATAATAATTTATAATATGGAATATATTTTTTATCATTTAAAAAATAGCTAAAAGTAAAGGAAGAGAATTGGGAAAAAGAGAGAGGAAAAGAAAAAGAATTACACAATTCTCATATGAAAGAAATTTTAACAATATTAGATAAAGCTGCAGTATGAAAATAATAATGTTTATACTTTAAAACACACACATAACATATGTGTATACATCTATTTATTTATTATAAAATATAAATTTTTAAACAGGATGATTATCAAAAATCAATAATGGCAAAGGAACATGAACTACAGGAATCAAAGACTGAGATTGAAAGACTTAATAATCAACTGAAAAGTGAACAAAATAAATTAAGTTTATTTTTAAATAATTAATTAATATAATAATAAATATATATAAAGTTAATATAATTAGAAAATTTTCAAAGTTGATTAATATTTTAAAAGCTTAAATTGATTTGAAAATATGTTAATTTTTTTTAATTTTAGGAGGCAGAAATAAATCGACTTCAGTGTGAGAGAGAAAAACTAGAAGTTAAAGTTCAAGAATTACAAAAAATAAATGTATAAAATTTATTGTTTTAACACATTTATTTTAAATTTATTAAAATTAAATATTTTTTTAAGGATGAATATTATCAGTTAATTAAAAATAAAGATTTAGAAATTTTTGAATTGAAAAAAGAAATTGATAGACTTATTAAAGAAATGGAATCTGAAAATAATAAGGTAAATCTTTTGATCTCTATATTCTTAATTTTAGGAATTCAATCATTTATTATTATTTTATTCTTTAGAATGAGGAAATTCTTAAACTTAAAAATGAAAATGATAAACTTCAGATTAGACTTGAAGATATGGAACAAAATAATGTATGTATGTTAGTATTATTTTAAACACAATCACATAAATGCTACAATATTATAATATGATTAGATTTTCATTTATTTAACAATTTCATTAATTTTATTTCTTGTAATTGCAAATATTTGCAGAAAGAAGAAATTAGAAAATTGCAGGATGAAAAATACAACTTAAGAACTGAAATAGAAAAAATATATGAAAATAAAGTAAAGAAATTTTAATACATACTTATTTAATTAATTTTTGTTATTAACAATATAAATTTTTTAGTGCCAAGAAGTGGAAAATAAAGAGCATATTCAGTTTCCAAGTCAAAATTCTGTAATTAAAATTAATTTTATACTTATATATATATATATATATAACTATCGAAACATTTTATTAAAAATTCTTTTTTAGCCTTTTAGCTATGGAGGTATATTTCAAACTCCAAGGACTTCTCCCAATATAACACACTGTACTGTAAAAAGGACTCCTCTTCTAGACCTAACCGGAAAATCAAACCAAAATATGAAATGTTATTCAAAAGCCACATTAAATGCTCAAAACAGTAAAAAGGTTAGATAAACAATTAACAATAAAATTATCAATTATGCTTTTAATTGACATAGTAATTAAATTAAATCAAATTATTAGTCTAGAATGTGTTTAGTAGAAATGAGCAAGAAGATAAATTCAGACACAGACATTTTGGATTATAAACCTCAACAAAGGAAGTTTTTTAAAACTTCTAGATGTTTGAAAAAGAGTCAAAAGAAAGATGGCTTATTATGGTTTGATTTAGATGAATCTTATCTCAAATCGAAAGGCTGCAAGTAATGAAAGAACAAAAACAAATTATTAATTTTAGTTGTTTTAAATATTATATATATTGTATATTTGTGTTGTTAAAATAAATATTTTATGTATATATTCATATATAGACTTTGTATATAAATATTTAGTTTTTTAAATGTACTAAGAATATATAATTATTTACATGAAATATATATAAATAAATTTTGTAGATATTTCTGACAATATATAAAATAAAAATTATTCTTTTATGGAAACATAACAAAGTGATATTCTTATTAATTTTAAAAATTTCAAAATTTTATACAGTAAATTTTTATGTAAAGTTTTAATTACATTTCACAATTTTAATTTAAAATTGTTATGATATTTAAAAATATATAGCCATTATATAGACATTAAGTAAATATTTGATAAATGATGATGTATACATGGTATGATCACAAAAAATTGTATTTCAACACTAGATGATCTTGTATTTTTTTTTTCCTTAATTTTCAGATGCCAAATGAGATAAATAAATTATTTATTTTCATGCCCTAATACAACAAAAATGGCAGGTAACACCAATAAACAATAAAGTAGTTTATGGATTTCCTTAATGTATATATAAAAGTATCAGTTTTTGAACAATCTAGTAAAAATTTAAACACAGTTTTAATTATAACTGGCAGTGGCAAATTGCAAATTACACCATACATAAAAAGGACATTTGTCAATGGTTCCCAATTCTAAAGGGCTTCCAAATTACTCTTTGTGTAGATCAGGGATGTCCAACCTTTTTGTTCCTCTGGGCCAAGGGTGGGCAACCTTTTTTATAACAAGGGCCAGAATAAATTTTACGTTTTTTCCACGGGCCATAGTAGTTAATTGACACCTTGTGACCTGTAAATTTTTAGTTTGCAAATATGAAATAAATAAATAAAAAAAATTAATTACTACAGTCGACCCCCCATNTTGCAGAAAGAAGAAATTAGAAAATTGCAGGATGAAAAATACAACTTAAGAACTGAAATAGAAAAAATATATGAAAATAAAGTAAAGAAATTTTAATACATACTTATTTAATTAATTTTTGTTATTAACAATATAAATTTTTTAGTGCCAAGAAGTGGAAAATAAAGAGCATATTCAGTTTCCAAGTCAAAATTCTGTAATTAAAATTAATTTTATACTTATATATATATATATATATAACTATCGAAACATTTTATTAAAAATTCTTTTTTAGCCTTTTAGCTATGGAGGTATATTTCAAACTCCAAGGACTTCTCCCAATATAACACACTGTACTGTAAAAAGGACTCCTCTTCTAGACCTAACCGGAAAATCAAACCAAAATATGAAATGTTATTCAAAAGCCACATTAAATGCTCAAAACAGTAAAAAGGTTAGATAAACAATTAACAATAAAATTATCAATTATGCTTTTAATTGACATAGTAATTAAATTAAATCAAATTATTAGTCTAGAATGTGTTTAGTAGAAATGAGCAAGAAGATAAATTCAGACACAGACATTTTGGATTATAAACCTCAACAAAGGAAGTTTTTTAAAACTTCTAGATGTTTGAAAAAGAGTCAAAAGAAAGATGGCTTATTATGGTTTGATTTAGATGAATCTTATCTCAAATCGAAAGGCTGCAAGTAATGAAAGAACAAAAACAAATTATTAATTTTAGTTGTTTTAAATATTATATATATTGTATATTTGTGTTGTTAAAATAAATATTTTATGTATATATTCATATATAGACTTTGTATATAAATATTTAGTTTTTTAAATGTACTAAGAATATATAATTATTTACATGAAATATATATAAATAAATTTTGTAGATATTTCTGACAATATATAAAATAAAAATTATTCTTTTATGGAAACATAACAAAGTGATATTCTTATTAATTTTAAAAATTTCAAAATTTTATACAGTAAATTTTTATGTAAAGTTTTAATTACATTTCACAATTTTAATTTAAAATTGTTATGATATTTAAAAATATATAGCCATTATATAGACATTAAGTAAATATTTGATAAATGATGATGTATACATGGTATGATCACAAAAAATTGTATTTCAACACTAGATGATCTTGTATTTTTTTTTTCCTTAATTTTCAGATGCCAAATGAGATAAATAAATTATTTATTTTCATGCCCTAATACAACAAAAATGGCAGGTAACACCAATAAACAATAAAGTAGTTTATGGATTTCCTTAATGTATATATAAAAGTATCAGTTTTTGAACAATCTAGTAAAAATTTAAACACAGTTTTAATTATAACTGGCAGTGGCAAATTGCAAATTACACCATACATAAAAAGGACATTTGTCAATGGTTCCCAATTCTAAAGGGCTTCCAAATTACTCTTTGTGTAGATCAGGGATGTCCAACCTTTTTGTTCCTCTGGGCCAAGGGTGGGCAACCTTTTTTATAACAAGGGCCAGAATAAATTTTACGTTTTTTCCACGGGCCATAGTAGTTAATTGACACCTTGTGACCTGTAAATTTTTAGTTTGCAAATATGAAATAAATAAATAAAAAAAATTAATTACTACAGTCGACCCCCCATAACACTGTTGATTATTCCGTTTTATATGAATTCCTTGTTGTATGAGTCACTTAGATTTTACAAATGCATGTGCCGAACTGTGAAGGGCTCACCTATTTGTAAAATCTAAGTGACTTTAAACACAATAAAAACAGCCCTATGTAGTTGGATACGACAGACATTACATTTTCTAATTGCATAGCTTTTGCACATAGATTTTCTTGATGGATGATGCGATGAGATATAAATAATTTAGAAA